GGCATTGTTTGCACCCGGTACTCAGCGAAAACAACGACAACAACAACAACAAAACGGGTGTTATAGGCTGTGAGGCAATCTTATGGGGCAGCAGAAGGCAGAGTAGAACAATCAATTGTTGTACTTACTTCTACTTCAAAGGCTCCTGCATCTAAGCCTCCCACCGTTATCGACTTGCACTGAACAGCGTGGTGAAATATGATGAAAGTAACCACCCCACCCCACACAACCTGCACAGCCCTGGAGAGTCCCCCATCCAGCAGCGGATTGACAGCAAGGGCCTTGTGCTCATACGTTAATGCGCTGCTGCTTCTACAGCAGCTGAGGAAACGGCACCCAAGAGCCGGTGTTCTGCATGCCATAGCATTGAGCGCAGCAAAAAAAAAAACCCCTCAGGAATGCTGACAGGCAAAAGCGAAAATTCCGTCGATTTTGTGCGACGTTTATGATGGAGATTCCATCCGGCATCATCAGCTGGTGACAACAGCTGAGGTCTCTCATATGCTGAGCTTTTGTGGTGGAGAATTTGTAGGATTGAAGTGTCACGGTAGCGAGATGTTAACTACCTCGCCTGGTATGCAGGAGGTCGTGGGTTCGCTCCCGAGCCTGACGCCTGCTGCTGTATATTTGGAGTTTGCGTGTCTCTCTCTCTCTCTCATCATCACGGTGGCTAGGAGATGTTAACTACCTCGCCTGGTGTGCAGGAGGTCGTGGGTTCGCTCCCGAGTCTGACGCCTGCTGTATATTTGGAGTTTGCGTGTCTCTCTCTCCCCTTGGTCGTGTTGATTTTTCTCCCGGTTTTCCCTCCACATTTTGAAACATGCGTTTAGAGTATTTGGTTGCTATCAATTTCACATGATTAGCTGCTAAGTTGAGCTATCATTTGTGGCCAGGTAACTTCTGAAAAAAAACGATGTAGTTTTTTTTGTTTCTTTCGGTAAAGTCACGTAGATAGAAAAATAATAATAAAAATTAAGTGAATAAAAAAATATATACTGTAGCCTGGTTCTTAATCGGAGTGTACTACAGTCTACAATGTAGACTGTAGCAAAGGTTATTAATCTGGGTGAGCGTACTGGCAGTCTATAATGTAGACTGTAGCCTGGTTCTTAACCTCGGTGAGTGTACTGGCAGTCTATAATGTAGACTGTAGCCTGGCTCTTAACCTCGGTGAGTGTACTGGCAGTCTATAATGTAGACTGTAGCCTGAAAAAAAATGCCACGACGTTTCGATCGCAACACAAGCGGTCGTCATGAGGATAAGGGGGGTTAGCCTCTAAAGGCAAACTGTTTATAAAGGTTTGGAGATGGGCGTAGCCAAAGTGTCTCAGCAGCACCAGCAGCATGGGCGGGGCAGCAATGCCAATGCAGGAGAAAACCATTGCTACAGTCTATATTATAGACTGCCAGTACACTCACTCCGATTAAGAACCAGGCTACAGTATTATTATTTTGTATTCACTTTATTTTTTTATTTTTATATCTAGGTGACTTTACCGAAAGAGCCAAATAACATGAATTCCTGCAGTCACGAAAAGTTTTTTAGTCAAAATTTCACCGCCTCTACGGGGAGGGTTTCCACATAACCATAAGATCTTTCAACAAACTCCGAGACACGAAAGCTCGTCTGATCGAGTCACTCACATTTCTGAAGAGATGCCGCGACTGGAAGGTAATATCGACCTCATTCACACTGACTTCTGCTGCCGTCAGATCTTCCAATGCCAAACGAATCTTGTTTAGGGCTAGCTTGGCCCTGATCTCAGAGAGAATTAGACTGCTCCGAATTGAACTAGATCATGTCGACAAGACACTCTTGAAATCACACTTAACACTGACAGAAAAAATGTCCACATCTGATTGGGAACATTTAGATAACATGACTGCTTCATCAGCCGCTGCAATGTCAGCTAAATGTAAAGATGATTTTCCAGTTCAACCTCCTTTCCAAGAATAAACCAGATCCACACATTAAAAAGTAAGATGTTGACAAGGTTGTCATTAATCCGAGTAAAGTCGGTTTTGGCTAAAGGCTTGAGCTTCGCAGTCACCCCCAAACACATACCAGTGGATGACATTATTGCCCAGGTCGATGTAGCTCTTAAGGGTTTGGGACACATCACTGCAGACGTGACAAGATCTGAAATCGCTGCAACCCTCAAAACCGCTAAGATACCAGTCAACAACATCAGTAAGGATGAGCGTTTTGAGTTATCTCAATTGAAAAAGAGGGAAGATATCGTCATCCTCTCAGCCGACAAGGGCAATGTCACGGTCATCATGGACAGTACCGTGTACAATCACAAAATTCATGACCTACTTAATGATGGTAGCTACACAAAAAAATTTAAGAGATCCCACCAACAGCCTCGTTACAAAACGAACAGTATCATAACTGATTCAGCTTCATTAATTGAACAGACCAAACGGTTTTCCTTAAAACCTTCTACTGCTAGACTAACCAGATTATATGGCTTACCAAAAATTCCATGAAGAAGATACACCCCTTCGTCCCATCGTCTCCACCATTGGCTCACCCACCTACAAACTGGCCCGATATCTGTCTGAGACCTTGCAGCCATTCATTGGTAAGACCACCTCTTCTGTACTAAACTCAGCTCACCTGGTATTGTCAATTAAAGACATCTCACTGTCCCCAGGTGATTTGCTCGTCAGTTTCCACGTAGTGTCTTTGTTCACCAAAGTTCCTGTGCCCGATACCATTGCAATCATTGAAGATTTGGTCCAACAAGGATTGAATGCTGATGTACCGTCCCTGGTGAGACACTGCCTCACCAATACATACTTCACCTGGAATGGAACATTCTACAAACAAACTGAAGGCACCCCAATGGGTTCTCCCTTATCTCCAGTTGTAGCCAATATTTTCATGGAAAATTTTGAGATGGACGCCATCCAGGCATCCACTCTACGTCCGTCCTTGTGGAAAAGGTACATGGATGACACGTTTGTCATCTGGCCACATGGCCGACCAGCTCTGGACCAATTCCTCAACCACATCAATTCCATACACCCAGCCATCAAATTCACCACGGAGGTAGAAAAGGATGGCATGCTACCTTTCTTGGATGTCCTAATCAAAAAGAGACCAGATGGCTCAATGAGCCATTCTGTCTACAGGAAAGCAACCCATACTGATGCCTACCTAAAACCTGATTCCCACCACCATCCATCCCAGAAGAATTCCCTCATCAAAACGCTACACCATAAGGCTCAGTGTATCTCCGACCATGAACACCTAACCAGTGAACTCAAACACGTACACCAAGCTCTCAAGGCAAATGGATATTCCGTCTACACAATCTGCAAAGCCATCACCCCAACCGTGAGGAAGGAGCCATCTGAGGATCTAATCAAAACCATCACCTTGCCATACATAGCAAGGGTAACCGAAATATTTCCAAAATCACGATGAAACACAAGATTCAGGTTCGATTTAACACACTACATAAATTTGTGATCTGATCTCATCTGTGAAGGACAAGATTCCTGACATGCAATATCCCGGCGTCTACAAACTAAGCTGTATTTGCGGCAGCAGTTACATTGGGGAAACTAAGCGACATGTCTTGGACCGTGTCCGTGAGCACAAGGCAGATTTGAAACACGGTAGGACCAATACTTCTGCCATGGCTGATCATTATTTTAATGCGGCTGGCTCACACGAAATTGATTTCTCTGAGACGATGGTACTTTGCAAGCCGACTGGCTATCAACAAAGATTCGTTCATGAAGCTATCCGTATATACAGACACGGACACAATTTCAACCGAGAGGATGGTTATAAACTCAGCAATCATTGAAAAGATGTCATCAACCACTTTGGGTCATGACTTGTGTTTTCTTGTCAATCAACCTCCACCATAAGCAGTGTGGGTGTGAGGAGCGGGGTGCAGTGATTGCCTGGCGGCTCTTTGATTGGTGTAGACCCACTGAAGGTATCGTTGTTTTCTCCTGCATTGGCATCAGCTGCTGGTGCTGCTGAGACCCTTGGGCTACGCCCATCCCCAAACATTTATAAACAGTTTGCCTTTAGAGGCTAACCCCCCTTATCCTCATGACGACCGCTTTTGTTGCGATCGAAAAGTCGTGGCTTTTTCCTTTATTTATTTATGATTTTTATTTTTCAGGCTACAGTCTACATTATAGACTGTCAGTACACTCACCCAGTTTAATAACCATTGCTACAGTCTACATTATAGACTGCCAGTACACTCACTCAGATTAATAACCAGGCTACAGTCTACATTATAGACTGCCAGTACACTCACCAAACTTAATAACCAGGCTACAGTCTACATTATAGATTGCCAGTACACTCACTCCGATTAGAACCAGGCTACAGTATTAAAAAAAAAATATTCACTTTATTTTTATGATTAGTTTTCTATCTACGTGACTTTACCGAAATAACCAAAGAATATTAATTCCCGCAGTCACGAAAGTTTTAAGTCAAAATTTAAAGCTTTCGTGCAATAGTGGGCCTTACCTGGTAAAATAAAAATAGTTCGTAAAAAAAATGACACTACACCTGCCTACGCTATCTGGCCCAAAAATCACGATACCATTTTATTGGTCGAGAAAGCCTGCGCATAAAATAATAATCGTAGTCATGTTGCTGCACGCGTAAGTCAGGCCCCATCAATCGAAATGTTCCAACCAACCGAGCTAAAGAGACCACCGCGCCTGGGCCGAGACGCCAAAGCCACATTTAACATCGAAAATCTTCAAGCAGTCGGCCCGCTTTCACGAGTCTCGCTCGCAGCCGACCGGAGAAGCGCCGATTTGCTGTGGCCCCGCGGTGGCGGTGGTGGTGGTGAGATGGGCGGCGGGGGGGAGATCAGATCTCGTGTCCCGCCGGTTACAAAGTGGCTCGCGCGTCGAGAGTGCGACACCCGAGCGGTCGCCGCAACCTCAAAATCAACGGTCAAAGCCGCCCGAGCCACGTCGGGAATGCGTGCGTGGCGAGCATCGGGCACCTGGTGAATCTCGTGCCACCCGTTCTCGTCGGTACAGCCGATGGACGCGTGCTCGTGCAAGAGCAGCTCGCAGCAGTAGGGGTCGCCTCCCACCATCGCGGTGTGGTAGAGCGCCGTCAGTCCGTGGTTGTCCTTGTAGTCGGGCGACGCTCCCAGGTCCATCAGCGCCTGCGAATGCGCAGACGCCAAAAACAAAGGGTTCCACCCCACCCTCCCACCCTCCCACCACCCCACCGTGAAGACTGTAACACAAACTGTTGGGGCAAGTGGTGCGAAGGCCGGCACGTGGTGTGGACAGCACCACGCCCGGCCGCCTTTGTCTCCCTAGAGGCGATGCTTACACACCGCACCGGGTACTCGTTTGAGGCTGAGTCGACCTAGGGGAGGCCCAGGACCGGTTCAGATCCTCGTCACCGGCGTTGGCCGTGAGCGAGAATCGAACTCGGGTCGCCGGGTTCGTAGCGCGGAACGCTAACTGCGACACCACCGCTTCCCAGACAAAGAAGCTGATCGTACTGTTTACGTTTTGGCGTTCTCTGTTCTGACACTGGCGAGACTAGGCCATAAAGAAGGCTGCCTGTGTTGTAGGCCAATCCGTTTCAGAAACAATGCCATTCATCATCAGAGCACGTTTGTTTTGCATGTTCACCGCAAATGCTGCGTGTGGTTTTTGCAGACTTGGATTCCACGCAAATGGTGTTTGAACATCTTAACGCCTCCTGTTTGATTGCCAGGAAGGGGTTAAAACCCATTCTTACATTTTACTCGCTGATGATGTTGACATGGACCCCTTGTGCGTTGGCCATTGTCACTGCAGCTTGGGTAAAATGCCCCATTCCTGACGACAACAACAACCAAAATCCTGCTGCCTGCCACATTTAGAGTCAACTACACAAGTGGCTCCACCCGCGGCTCTCACCATAGCGCCACCCGTGAGATTTTGTTTGCGTAAGCCACATGGGACCACTTGTCCGTGCGTAGGAGAAGTCAAGTTTTCTCCCTGCATTGCCTGTATGTGTGGCAGTGCCGTGTTCATGCGTGTTCATGTGTGTGTGTGGGGAGTGTGGGTGAGCGGTGGTGCAACGGTTAGCGCGCTGCGCCACGAATCTGGCACACGCGAGTTCGATTCCCGCTCACGGCCAACACCAGTGACGATTATCTGAACCGGTCCCGGGCCTCCCCTAGGTCGACTCAGCCTCAAATGAGTACCTGGTGCAGTGTGTAAACATTGCCACTAGGGAGACAAAGGCGGTCGGGCGTGGTGCTGGCCACCCACCCCCTCATGTACCGTTCCGGCCTTCATAGGTGCTCGCTAACAGCACTTGCCCCTACAGTCTGTTAAGGCTATATGGGGGATATTTGTGTGGGGAGTGTGGGTGAGCGGTGGCGCAACGGTTAGCGCACTGCGCCACGAATCTGGCACACGCGAGTTCGATTCCCGTTCACGGCCACAGCGTCCCCCCACTAGGTTGATTCAGCCTTAAGTGAGCACCTGGTGCGATAGCACTGGGGAAGAAGAAGAAGACTGGGCGCTTTAGTTGGCCACCCATCACCCACCACCGTAACACAGGGCTCGAAAACACAAACACGGTTGTCAAGCCACCCTCATCAACGATGCACCCTTAAATAGCCCCTCAAGGGCTCTGAGATCGGGGGATGCGGCAGATCTCCGGGTCAAGCCTTCGGTCTGCGAGCAGGCCAAGATTTTTTTTTTTCCCTGTGTGACAGCCCCTCCAGACTCTGGAACTCTGCCACACAAGATGTCAGAATCCGTGAGCCTGTGGACATTTTAAAAGCTCGTGTTGATTCAACGTTCAGGCAAATGCGGCAAACGGCTTTGAGCGTCCAACGCGTTCCTTTTACCTTCTCGGCGGCGAGTTATTGTCATTCTGAGCATCTGCTGACGCCACCGCCGCTGTCGTGTGCGGTGCTTCGAAGGTGCTTCGTGAACGGCTTCTCATGAAAGTAATCGTCATCGTCGTCATCATCATCATTATTATCACTACGAAAAGGCGAGGGGAACCGAGCCGCAGCGAGACGTCGCAGCGACTCGTGAACGGCCCCGCCGTGCCGACTCCCTCGTGCGGTGCTCGCAGGACGAAGCGGGGGTGTGGGGGGTTGGAAGCGGGCCCAGAAAGAGGTGGCCACCGATGTCGCCGAAGATCTCACGGAGCCTTCATTTCACACCCCATTTGCACCCTGAGAGACGCGTAAATAACGCGCAGGCGCTGGTTTTTTTTTGGGTTTCCGAATGAGCGTTTAATCAATGTAACGCCGCCAAACTGCGGTGGGCCATGTCGGAGGAAGCGACACAAAGACAAAGATCCCACCCCCACCGTGTAGCCTGTAACAGACTGTCGGGGCAAGTGCTGATAGCGAGTAGCGTCTGTGAAGGTCCGGGGCACGGCGCACGAGGTAGGGGTGGGTGGACGCGCGGCCATTTGAGTTGTCCCTCTCTCTCCCTCATCGAGTCACGTTCAACGATCAACATCCAAATTGAGTTGCTGTAGATGTGAGGGCAAGCAACCATCCCTTCACTCTCCCCTCCCGCACGCCGCGCGTCACCATCCTAACTAGGGCTGAACGATTTGGGGAAAATATCTAATTGCGATTTCTCTGACAGATACTGCCATTGCGATTTGATTTGCGATTAATCTTTTTTTTTTAAGTCAAGCTTTCATTCCAATATTCACTGTGTAATAGATTTAAAACATGTGATGGAGCATTACCACGTGATACCATCACCATATGAACCGCTCTATATATTCTAATGCAAGGATGAGAACTTAAAATATATGAATTGCTTCCAACGTGTATTTATTAAAATGTTTTAATTGAAATAGAACAATCAAACATAAAACAATTGTTAAGTTAAATAAATTAAGTTATAGTAATAAAAAATAAAACCATTCCAATAAGAAAGTAATAGGACTTTTCAAATCGCAAAAAAACGCAGCCTTTGCCTTTTGCTACTCGCATTGCTTCAAATTACGATTTCGACATGGAATCGATTAATAGTTCGGCCCGAATCCAAAGGGCTCACCTACGCCACCCCGCGCGCCCGTTTTCCCACACCCAAGTTGAAAAACCTCCTCCTCCTCCCCCAGCAGCGGCGGCATCTTCATTTCCGCGCCGTTACAGGCCTCCGCGTCGCGGGCAACGCTCACGCAAGGCTTCGTGAAGCGCGGCGGGATAAACGATAGCCCGTCGTCGGAGCCGCTTCGCGGAATTCCTCGAAGGGACGCCGCGGGGAACTCCCGGGACACTTTCGCCGAGGTGTGCGGTCGGCGCTTAAGGGGCTACCGGATGTACGTTCGGATCAACCTGCCAACGTTTCTATGAGTTTGCTTTGGTACCAAGGAGTTGACGTGCCTTCAAGCTCCGGCCCTCGTCGATCTAGCGCGGGCCCTCTCCCGAAGCCTTCTTCGGCGGCGTTGCCTAGCGGAGCTCGACGTCGCCACTTTAGCATTGCGTAGCCATCGTTGACTCGCCGACCCGCCCGTCCGACCGGGACGTCTGTGACGAAGAGCTCCGTAGCTAATGGGATTCCTGCCGCGGTCTCAATAAAGATCCAGATTCTGATGGGCATTTAGCTCCTGAACGCAGTGACAGCCACCGCACGCGGGAACATCACAGCTGTTCTCTCGAGCGTACGTAGAGCAGAACCTCTCTCAACGACCACCCACGTTAACGACTAATCGCTTAACGACGGGCCTCCATAGAGTCTAATGTGTAGTTTATAGTGTAGTGTATAGTAGTGTAGAGTAGTGTAGTGTAGAGTAGTGTAGTGTATAGTAGTGTATAGTAGTGTATAGTGTAGTATATAGTAGTGTAGTGTATAATAGTGTAGTGTATAGCGTAGTGTATAGTGTAGTATATAGTAGTGTAGTGTAGTGTATAATAATGTAGTGTATAGTGTAGTATATAGTAGTATAGTGTAGTGTATAGTAGTGTAGTGTCTAGTAGTGTAGTGTATAGTGTAGTGTATAGTGTAGTGTATATAAGTGTCGTGCCTCCATAGAGCCCAATATGTTCGCTTACCGACCATTGCCCTGTTAATGACGGGCTGCTGTCGGCCCAGTAAATATTAATGCGTTGATTAACGGTGTTTATTTTAACACGCGTTCATAAATGTTCTCTCTTAATTAACATCCATTGTTTAAACATGATAAAGTACGTTTTTTTCGGGTGAACAAGGGGCAACTTGCGATGCTATCGGAACGAACGAAGCCTTCAACGTGTCTTTCCCCGTACTCGCCTAACGGCCGAATCGCTGAACGACCGCTTTCGTGTAAACCCAATTACCGCCAGTTTAACACGTAGGCTTTCGCGACCAATATTATTCATAATAAAGGTTTTTGGGTTAGATCGCGTTTATTTATAAATGTGTCGTAACCCTCCACCACCCGACACGGACAATCAGCAAAAAAAGTGTCGCGTTGACAAAAAGACAAAATAGTTCACTACTTTAGCCCACCGGTGTGTTGAAGAGTGAATCCACATTTACAGTTTGAGTACGACGTTTCGCTGGTAAATACATCCAGCATCATCGGGCAATTCGCCAGAATGGTAAAGCCCTCGCTTGATTGGCCGTGTCGGGTGGTGGAGGGTTACGACACATTTATAAATAAACGCGATCTAACCCAAAAACCTTTCTTACCAATTACCGCCGTCGAGAGGGCCCGCTTCGCGACCGCACCGTCGCCAACCGTACCATGAGAGCGACGGGGTTGGTGGCCCTGGCGGCCTTGTGGAGGGCCGTCAGCCCGTCGCGTGCTCGGTAGTCCAGGTGAGCGCCGCCGGTCTTCAGGGTGCGGATCGCGTCCGAGCTGTTGCACAGCTGTGCGGCGAGGGTGAGCGGAGACTCTGCCACGGTGGGGCGAGCGGGGGACACAACAGCGGTGGACACGCACGTCAACAACAACAAAAATCTCGACGCGGCATTCGCGGAGCAGACGATGGAATTCGCGTGCGCGTGTGTATGCAAGGACTTTAGAGTTCTTTTGCACCGTACGTAGCCAAGCGTGCTAATCGGAGGTACGGGGGGAAGAAGTTCAACATACATAAGTAGAAGAATGAAGGTGCGTTTGGCTGATATAAATTTCCACGCGATAAGCCACTTTGTTTAGCTATTAATTGTGGCCGGGTCACTTCTGAAACAGAGCTATATACTGTAGCTCAGTGGGCCTTACCTGGTAAAATGAAAAAATAGTTCAGGAGTGGTGATGACTTAGTGAGGCCTACGTCCAGCAGTTGCTGAACGATGGTCAAAGCTCGTGATGGCGATGACGAGAGTGTGCATCAATTGCAATTAATTGATGAGTATCGCTTGCCTGCATGACGTGTCGCAATCGTTCCACATCATATAAGATCGTTCCTCGGAGAGCATTTTACCTCGCAAAACAACCGCCATCACTTACCACCACTGTCAGGGTCGTGAAAATTTGGGTCCAGTCCTCGGTCAACCATCTTCTTGATTTTCTCTATCGACAGGTGTTGTACGTAGCCCATGAACTTCCGAAGGTTCACCTGCCGAAACAAACGCGGCTGTATTATTCGGACGCAACCACTCGTAGATATTTGGGGGCCGTCCATAAATGACGTCACGCGATTTTGGACGATTTTTGACCCCCCCCCCTCACTTCGTCACACGGCGTCACAAAAAGTCAGACCCCCAAACCTCAAATATGACGTCACAAAGATCTGCCCCGTCCCCCCAAATAAAACATGCTTCAAATCGCTTTAAACTATTGTCATTGTAGTGCGTATTTAATGTGGCGCTGCACTCTGATGTTGTAGGAGAAAACATTTATCAAAAAGTCTATTTAATTAAGCAGAACGTGTTGTCTATATTTATTTAAAGTTGCGCATTTTGATGTGACGTCACATTTCTCAAACCCCCCCCCCTCGTCACAAATGTCTGATCCCCCCCCCCTAGGTGCGTGACGTCATTAATGGACGGCCCCTTGACAGCAAACAGAATCAGAATCTTTATTTAGACTGCAGGAGAAATCCGATGAGTGATGAAGCTCTTTTTGTTTACAGATGTCCAGTCGAGGGGGGGAGGGGGGGCACGGGGGTCAGCGAGTTACAAACAACAAATAATAATAAAAAAAAAACACGCCAGGGAGTGCAAAATAGAGAAAAGTTGAAGCAAATCACTGAAATAAATAAAATATATAAGTACAAATTCCACAAGTGCATAACTTCCTGCCGATCTATCAACACTGAACGTGAGCTTGGCGGCAAAACAACGAGAGAAAAAAAACAGTCCCAGACCCTGCCAAGATGACGCAGAGTACCTCAATAAAATTGCACATTAAAGTTTAACTCTCGATACACGGGTAACGATCACAGTTACCCAGTTATCACATTTGCAAACTGTGATTGTATCCGGCACTAATGTTCTGCTTCAGGATGTAATTTTTTCACCCCACGGAGGTCTCCTGCATTGCACCTTTTACCAACGACCTTAATAATTAATTTTGTCAGGGTTCTTATTAGACTCTCCAAGGGGTCCACAGCATCACAGCTTCAAGGCGACCCCAGCCACTGACGGTGGGAAGCTAAAGATGGTACTGTGACCCGAGCGTGTTCTCTCCTAATCGTGGCCTGGTTTCCCAGATGTCAGAACAGGAGGGTGGGTTTGCTGTCTCGTGGGCTCAGCGAGAAAGCGTGGAGGTGGGAAGATTAGCAGATGCACGGGTGAGAGAGGAGCTGAATTCCCCAAAATACTCTAAAGTTAAACTCGTCTCCTTCGTGGTCCCGTTACGGACAATTCCCGTTATCCGCAGAGTTGGGGGAAATCCTGTGAATCATCTCATTATCCGCAGAGTTGGGGGGAATCCTGTGAATCATCTCATTATCCGCCGATCATTATTGTTGCTATCAGCAGCAGCAGCAAGAACACGGAGAATGAGAAACAAAATAACCCTTTGGAGGAAATCTTAAAACATTTTTGTTGGTAATGTTGAAAAAGGAGGTAAGTGGCAAAAATTCACCTCCGTTATTTCTGATTGGCTTAAAAACATTTTTAGATGAAAATTAACCCCCCCCCCCCGCCCCGAGGTGCGCGTGCACGCACACCTCCGAAAGGTGTGGGTGCCCCCGTGCGTTGCAATGTCATCGCCAAAATTAGCGAACACATCCCCCTCCCCCCACCTCCTGCCAAGCAATGGCGGAGCAGTGTGCTACACGACACCCGTCCTCCAAAACGACTGCCGTCCCTTACAACCACGATCGGGGGATCCAATCGACAATCTTTCCCTATTGACGGGCGTCGATCAAAGTGATCTCTTTACTCAAATGAGCATTGAGGCAGTGCGCCACCCTCCAGTTTACACAATCTGAGCCAGGGCTGGAAATTCCTCCACCGTGTTTCAGCTCACAATCAATTTAACGTCATAATTATTACCTGCAATATTTCCGTTTAACACGTAGGCTTTCGCGACCAATATCCATAATAGAGATGTTTGGGTTAGATCGCGTAAATATACAAATGTGTATATAAATGTGTCGCCTGATGAAGCCAGTTGTAATTACTGGCGAAACGTCGTACTCAGATTGTAAATGTTGTGACATGGCTCTCCAACACGCTGGTGTGCTGTACTAGTGACGAATTGGCCACGTTCTGTTTACGTGACAACCCTTACTAGTTGGCCGTGTCGGGTGGTGGCGGGTTTTAACGTCACATTTATATATTTACGCGATCTAGCCCCAAACAAAAACACCTTCATTATGTACAATATTTCCGCAAGTCATTGCCCGATGGCCAGCTAACCCGCCGCTCACTCCATCAGGGCGTATGGACACCTCTCCTTTGCACGGCTATGCGCGCATGTAGCCTTGGGGGTTGTGGTGTAATCCAGCGCTGTGGAGGGCGAGGGGTTGGCGGGTCACACACGTGTTGCCAAACTCCCTTCCCGTGGGTGTCAAGGCGGTACCATTCGATTTGAGTCGATCTTTCCGAGTGCCATCCTAGTACACTGACCTCTTCCACCCTGCACAGAAGTCCTATCAATCAATCATCGGTCGACCAGTCTTCATTCTAGGTGCCGATATTGCCCGCGTTAAAGTAGGCATCGGGCAGAGAGCAACAGGAATTAATGAATAAACCAGTCATGCCCTCAGCGGCTAACACAGACTGACTAACAGACTGCCCATTGCAACCTCGATTACATACCAAATTTCCAAGTCGGCCCATTAGAAAGTAAAAAATAAAACATTTCATGAAAAATTTACGTTTGTAATAATGTACCCCAGTTGTTGTGCTGACAATATAATAGCAGCCAAAATTTTTTAAATGACACGTTTCATAAATGCATTAGAGAAAATAGCATAAAATGCCATGGCAAACCAATTATATCCTCTGAGTGGAAATGTTTTTACTCAACATATGAACAGAAGCTCACATTTGTGCCTCTAAATCAATGAAATTATGACGGGCATTGCAAGTGAAGAATAAAGCAAATGCACTACAATCACATTGATCTATCAATATTTTTACTTTTTTGTTTGTTACATATTTAATTCCTTGTAATCACGATTATCGTGCAATCTGTAGCATGAGTTGAGCTCAAGTAGGCTCCCTCAAAACCAACGTATCCAAGTGCCCACTGAAAGCAAGTATAATTTATCCTTTCTTTTGCATATATTTATATTTTCTTAACCATTTCCCTCCGTATGATGCTGTTGTTTTGTTCGAGTTTACGTATGACAAGTTGCCGCCCTTCACTGTGTGTGCGGATCAGAAGGTCACTGCCAAGATCGAGCTCTGCGATATATACTTCGGTGGGCTGGTCTCTAACACGAAGGGTTCTCCATAATAATGAACTCTGGCTGTTGCCTGATGATGCTCGTTGTAATTACCGACGAAACGTCGTACTCGAATTGTGAATGTTGTGGGGTTTAGTCTCCAACACACCGGTGTGCTGCGCTAGTAACGAATTGTTACGTTTTGTTAACGTGACAGACCTTACTAATTGGCTGTGTCGGGTGGTGGCCGGTTTAACAACACATTTTATTTTTACGCGATCTAACTCAAAAAAGCCTCTTTTATGGATAATATTGGTCGCGAGAGCTTACTACTAGTAAGGTGTTAAACCAACGAAGGGTTATACCGCTCTGCCAGAGATCCGAGAGGAGAACAGGATTTGAAGCTTTCGTGACTGCAAGGATCCATACTCTTTGGTTCTATTCGGTAAAGTCACGTAGGTAAAAAATAAAACAACAAAAAATCACAACGTTTCGGCCACAACACAAGCGGCCTTCATCAGGTGAAGGAACCAGACTGTCTCGAGGACAGCGCTGGAGTGAACACAGCTAAGCTCAGACCGCGACCTTTAAGCTTATTCGGTAAAGTCACCTACGTGACTTTACCGAATAGAACCAAAGAGAAAGGAGAACAGGACGCAACAACAATTAATCTGGGGGGCAATATGCAACAACAACAAAAAAACATCGTGAGAATATAGTTGCCACGAGAGTGTGGTGGTGTATCCAGTGAAAACAGTGACCTAAGTGCGACAATTAAACACGGAGGCAACAAACAAAAACCCACTTCTGTTTAAAGGAACATCCCGTCGAGTAGCACCCATTAACAAGACAAGCGTTTCGCTTCCCTATCCCTACAGGTGACTTTAAACATTAGTGGAAAGCGCCTTACAAATACATGTAAATTATTATAGCGCAGTTCCAGGAGAATGGAACTTAAGGCCATGTTTGAATATCACAGCGATATATAAACAAAGTTTGTAATTTACCAATACAATTCCCCCTGACGGCCAATTACAATTAGCAATATAAAATCATACCCTTGCGACCTCAGGCTGGTGAAAAACAGAAAAAAATGAAACATATATAACATCCGCTCTCAGCTGAGTGGCGACATTTCGCATTGTGCTTGACTTGTGTAGTTCCAGTGGGTTATGATCGCTTGGCTCGGGACTTGGAAGTTTACGAGTTAATACCCTGCCCGGGGATGACCTAGTCCGTCATCCCCCTGGGGTTAGCAGACTCAATTATATTCTTCTTCTCTTCCTTGCGGATGATGGCTGCAATATGTCCACAAGCTAAATGGCAATGTCGAGGTCTGCTAGGCTTGACGAGAGGGCTTCAGGAGAGAGCTCTCGTCAGTTTTGCCCCTCCTCCTCCTCCTCCGTTGGTGGTTTGCTCTGCGGTCCATAGTTTTGTGTTGCGAATACAATGAGTGCCGCTTTGCAAAAAAAGTCAGTGGTTGTCCTGTAATGAAATATACAACTTGTCCCCATTATGAGGGCGTGGAACCTGTACCACACGCCTAAGACTACAAGCAGAGACGCAGGCGCACATGCATTGATCATTGGAGGGAACACAACTTTTGCAGTGGGGTTACATAGTGAATGTTACAACTGTAAGACAATTAATGATGACATCAAGGTGACGCTGCATTGTCGGGATCACGATGAGAGAAGTGAAGGTGACAAAGGTCGTTTCGAAAGCGTGCATGTTTTAACTTTAGCAGGCATTGTATTATTTTATTGTATCGATTA